GCGAGTTGAGTGTACAAAATTCAAAGAAATGTAAAATTTATCCTTCTATTTTAGAAATAAACGTCTGTGAACGTCTTTTACCACATACGCCTAGTACACGTTGATTTCAATAGCCCTTCGCAGTTACGATACTACATATACAGATGCCCTCTTTCAACTGATTTACTTGAAAAACATTGCAAATTTTAAACAAAAAACACCATGCACTCACTTTTAATTGCCAGTGAATATTTTTATGAAAAATTAATAACTACTAAATAAACAAAAAAATGTGAAACCGTCCACACACATATCATTTGCAATAAAATTCTAAATGCCATTGTTTGTCACTTATGTTTATTTATTTATTTTTACGAATTTTGATTTAAGTATAGTTCGATCAATAACGGAAACAACATAAATAAAGGGTCTCAAAGATTGCACAAGGTTCACAAAAATGAATCAAATTTAAAAAAAATTTCATAAAAATTTCAAACTTTTTGTTCAGAATTTTGGAAAGTTTTCGAGTTTGAAGTTTGGTTCATTTTTGTGAACTTGGTGCAATTTTTGAAACCCTTATTTATGTTGTTTCTGTTATTGATCGAACTATATCTTAAATGAAAACTAGTAAAAATAAATAAATAAACATAAGTGCCAAATATTCAACAATTTTTATTGAGCTCGAGGCCGTTTTTTAAAGAAAATTTATTGTGGAAAAGCAACAATAATTTGAAAAAATGGTAGAAGTGATAGCTATTTCGGAAATCACCACATTTCCTCATCAGACTTCTGTAGGATTCGAACCGACGATCCCACTGACTCAGCCAGTTGCCTATGCACCGTGCTAAGTACGCCTTGTAAATTATCGTTTGCTTTTTTCCACTATTTTCATTTTTGTTATGCCAACACAATCAAGCGCAGCTATTCCACTGCAACTCACTTGATGATGTGGTTGTTGGTACTGTTGGTCTTTTGCTAATAATTGTATTTTTGGAAATTTTAACTTTTAGGTATGCTCATCCTTAAATTATTTGTTTTTTGTTATTTTTTGGCCTTATAACAATTATATTCAACAATTTTTATTGAGCTCGAGGCCGTTTTTTAAAGAAAATTTACGGTGGAAAAGCAACATTAATTTGAAAAAATGGTAGAAGTGATAGCTATTTCGAAATTTTTTTTTATAAATTGCACTTGTTAAATGAAAGAAACCGCAAAGCATGAACCATATTTCTATAAAAAATTAACTTGAAAAACATCGCAAATATTTAACAAAAATCACCATGCAGTTGCGACGTTTTGACCAGTTTTTGCCATTTTTCTTGCTTTTATTTAATGCTTTTTTATTTAACTTTTTATGAAAGTCTAGCCCATTATATAACAAACACGATTTAAAACCACATTTTCAACTTTGTACAAAAAAATAAAAGAAAAATAGCCAAAACTGGACCAAATGTCGTAAACTTGTTTGTTTGTCCATGAGTGTATGTACTCTGACATGGAAGAATTTTCCAGAAATCCCAACTCTACAAACATCTATACTCCAAAAATCCTTCCACACCACTGTACAAGCATGTATTGTTTAAGCTAATAGAACAGCTTCGCAACTAATGTTTTTAAGTTAAAATTTTACAGAGTGTAAAAAGCAATACATATTTGCTTAAATATATCGTTAACACTAATCAGTCTCTGAACTAAACATAAATAAGGCACTTGTACAAAAATTCATTTAGCCTCTATAATTGTTAAAAATGTAAAGAACAAGAAAAAATTTTACTCCAAAAGAAACTGTGCTGGGATGACCTGTAAATGAAAATATATTAATACTTGCGGTACCCCGGTGTGCTTCTCTACACCAAATATTGAAAAATGAATGAAAAATCCTGGAATTTTTCTGTTTGAAATTTTTTTTTTTACTATATTGCAGCCATGTTTATACTTGACTTAATTTATCTGAAGAAAAAATAAACAGAGCACATCATAGCAACAATTTTTCACTATGTTTTCGATTTTTCATGTATCTGCTGTTGCACCATATACATGGTTCATGTAACAGACATAAACTGTTATATATCATGAACCGCTGGACCGAATTCGGGCACACTTCACATAACCCATCTGCATATACCGTTTAAATTTGGTAGAATTCGTGCACTTATTTTTTTTATTTAAGATGGGAGGTGCCACGACCCCTTTTCCAATACCGCTCATTTTTCTCCATGAGTACGGAATTATTTCATATGTCTCTATACCAATTTCCAGTAATCTACCACAAATATTTCAAATATACCAGAAGAAAATTTTTCTTAGTATGAGTGGCGCCACCCCCTTTTCCGAATTCGGGGAAACTTAACACAAACCATCTTCATAAAAACCCGACTACGCCGTATAAATTTGGTTGAAATCTTGCACTCATTTTGTATATGTAAGATAGGAGGTGCGACGCCCTCTTTTCCAATACCGCCCATTTTTCTCCATGAATATGAAATTATTTGATATACCTCTATACCAATTTCCAGTACTCTACCACAAATATTTCAAGAGATATACAATATAAACATTTTATTTAGTATGGGAGGTGCCACACCCCCTTTTACGAATTTGGGCAAACTTCACAAAAACCATCTGCATGATAGCTTGAATATGCTGTATAAATTTGGTTGAGTTCGGTGAAGCCGTTCTCAAGTTATAATCTCACACCAAAAACGTGTACTTATTTTTATACATAAGATACATATGCCACGCCCCCTTTTCTAAATTTGGGCGAACTCCACATAAAATATCAGCATATGGCCCGAATATGCTATATAAATTTGGTTGAAGTCGGTGAAGCCGTTCTCAAGTTATAAGCTAACTCACTAATTTTTATATATAAAATAGAGGCGCCACGCCCCCTTTTCCGAATTCAAGCAAACGCCACATAAACCATCTGCATGATAGCCCGAATATTCCGCACAAATTTGGTTGAATTTGGTGAAGCCGTTCTCAAGTTATAAGGTCACACCAAAAACGTTCACTTATTTTAATATTTTAGTTAGTGTGGGTGGTGCCACGCCCCCTTTTCAGAATTCGGGCAAACTTCGCTTAAACCATCAGCATGATAGATCGAATATGCCACATAAATTTGGTTAAATTCGGTGAAGCCGTTTTCAAATTATAAGCTCACTCCAAAAACATGCACTTGTTCTCATACATAAGATACATATGCCACGCCCCCTTTTCCAAATTTGGGCAAACTCCACATAAAATATCAGCATGATGCCCCGAATATGCTATATAAATTTGGTTGAAGTCGGTGAAGCCGTTCGCAAGTTATATGGTCACACGAAAAACGTTCACTTATTTTTATATTTTAGTTAGTATGGGTGGTGCCACGCCCCCTTTTCCGAATTGAAGCAAACGCCACATAAACCATCTGCATGATAGCCCGAATATGCCGCACAAATTTGGTTGCATTCGGTGAAGCCGTTCGCAAGTTATATGGTCACAC